ATATTTCAAACAGGCAGCCCTGCATCGCTACATAGCTGGGTGCAGGGCTTTCAACTAGCTTTTACTGAGTATAATATGATTAACATAATATAATAAGATTAAAGCCGGTCGATGTACGCAAGAAGATTAATCACAGAAGGTGTAACCCGAAAGGATCATTCGTTATATTTACGCAAGTTTAATGTATATTATAGAGTTTTAAAAGATAATTGTGACTTCTTGTTGTTGTTTTCAATTGATATATGTGCCCTTTGATACAATTTTATAATTTATAATTTAAAACTTTTTTCATTAATTATTAAATTCATTTCGGCTAAAATAAAACTTGTATAGATAAAGTACTGAATAGGTAAAGCTAGCATGAAGTTGTTTGCATCACACGACGTTAATATAAACGAATAATTATATTTGACGTATTTGTAATAAAACCTAACTAATTTCCGAATACTTGTTAATTGAAAAGCGACAACCCTTTGCTTTTACCTCTACTAATGCATATTTAATGTCCGCAGTAGTGAGTGTCATCAGCTGGTTCTAACATGACCGGCAATGTCCTGTGTAATGTATCGTAGTGTGCGTAAATACTTGGTTAGTATTCATCTGTTTATACATTCATTTTTTGTGTGCGGACATGAACGCACCATTATATATTATATTATCTGTAGGAATTTTGCAAGGAATGGTAAATTGATACCTTTCCATTATCAGGTCTTTATAATTCTACGAGCTTGCCAGGCAGACGTTGTTCTGTCCTTTTCGGCGACACTTTGTCATAGGCAAAAAAAACTATCCTATCTCTCAAGTTGGACCAAACTGCACACTGTGTGCAAATTTGATTAAAATCGGTTAAGTAGTTTAGGAGTCCATTGCGGACAAACAACGTGACACGTAATTTATATATACAATTGTATAAATGTCTGTAACGTAGTACGCGGCATAATCCAAGTACATTTACAGATTTTATGCATATGCGGCAAGTATCATAGTAGATACTTAGTGTTAGTTATTTAAGATGGCAGTGTATTTAAGTCGCATTCAAGCGAAAACTTTCCTTGATGTATTGTAATAGAGAACAAATATGATTCACTCTACGAATGACAAGTTTTCATTAGCACCGTGTATACTGTCTTGGTGTTAAGACGGTGTTGTGCTTTAATGAGAGACACGTTGCAGTAGTTTCCTTTTGTTTATACACAATGAAGTCTGAGTACTGTGAGGGACGAGGTTCCACAGTTAGTATTCCTGTTAACGGAGCGCTGTTAGAACGCCTTATTGGAAAGTGTGTTAATGAGGACAAGCTCTAATGGTAATGCAGTTTTCATTTAAACGTTCTCTTTGGCGGTGTTTCGCACATATTACGTTTTGTTACCACCGTTACTACATGGATTACAACTTTGACTGTTACTAATTGGGATGCTTAATTTGTACTTTTGGTTGGCTTTTAAAGAAACTTAAGACTGTTGCTTTACTCATGTTCTACAAATTTAAACTAAAATAAAACGTATTGGTAAGCTGAAGTGGCAATGGACCGGTCATTTAGCTCGAAAAACTGACAACCGATGGAGTAGGAAGGTTCTTGAGTGGCAGCCTCGTACCGGCAGACGAATTGTATGGCGGCCCCCTCATAAGATGGTGTGACCACCTGGTAAGACATGCGTGAGGTCGATGGATGCAGGTGGCTTAGGACCGTGCTTTTTGGCATTCCTTGTGGGAGGCCTATGTTGAGCAATGGAGTTATGAAGGGCTGTATGAAATGATGATGATGAAACTTATATTCAGCTAACACAACAGTATTACTATAAATTTGCATTAATTGTTGTTTTCTTTTCGTCCTATGGTAATTTTGTCAATATTTCAATCATGCGATACAAAATGTTTAACACGAATTGCGTATTAATTGCGCTCGCAACGCTGTAATCAACAAACCCAATAAAGCTCTCGAGTAACAACGCTGCGGGCTTTTATCCGTACGGCGAAGCCTTGCAGTTTTTTGTCCCCTACTATTAATTATCGGGTAAAGTTCAATGCTGTTCATTCTTCATGCTGTTTCTCAAATGCAAAAACAGATAACATTTTTGTTCATTTATAAATACTGATCTTCTGAATAAAGCTGTCAAACATTTACTAGTTTGTTTAAATAAACTTCAATTGTAGATTTTTTAAAAAATGAGAAATATGTCAATGTCAAGCATCTTGACAAAATCAAAAGGAGTATCATTCATGTATTCGGCCATCTAATGGAATAATTTTTTTTACGGGAACAAACTATAAACTATATGTTCTTTGTCTATGCCTTTGCCTATAAGTCTCGAGTAGCTCCTAACATATTATTAACAATTTCTGCCACCAAAACAAGCAAGGTTGTGATCGGTGTATTTCCATTGAAAAGTCGATTTTGAAAATTCAATAAGTCGAATATATTACATATGTTCGTATTCGAGTCTAAAGCAAATGATAACTAAAACTACATTGGCTCGAAAACGCCGCCCGCCCAGCAGTCGAGCCTTACTCTCGGTAGGGCGCGCTCGCATTAAAACATTGCTGTGTCTTGATTAAACGCATTTTATTTTTGTTTTCAAACAAAAGGTAAAGTTGCATTTACATATTTATGTATTGGAAATATACGACGTAATATTGTCAAGTGTTAATTAGAACCAAGGTGTTTAGTATAGTTAGCGCAGGTTTGTGTCATTAAGTCATATTTTTCATACGGTACGAAATATTGAAAATATTCGTCAAAATAAAATATATAGTTACTCTTTAACTGCAAATTATTTACTTGGAATACAATTAATTATGCAAGAAATCAAAAATATTATTTGTTAAACTTTATTACATTTTTTAGTTATATATATATTATAACTATAGTGCATTAGTTTATACTGTGGTTTTGTTGTGTATTTAAAAATCACTTCAGTGACATTTTTATTTTCGTCAAGCTACGTTCTTGTGCATTTTACTCTGGTGGAGTGAACTATAAATTTAGCCAAATGTCAGGCACACTCAAAGCGATATGAAATAAAAATGGATACGTTCGAAAGCTGAAACGGTATGAAGAAAAATATGTCAGAAAAGTTTATTAAATAAAATAGAATACATTTTAAAACTTTAGTTTCAATTATATATTTTTCCTATACAATTGAATTAAATGGCGAGCGACATATTATTAAATTTACATTTCTCTGAATTGATAATTTATTGTCTTATCATCACATAAAAATTCGTCATTCTGGCAATGAATAGGTTGCGAAATCTTTTGTTTATTTTAGTGTCCATTATAATCCATCCATTGTACTATTCCTGAACGATTTGGTTTCGGCATATTTGGTGCGTGTACATTTATTGAGGTCGGCTTATCAGTCGGAACCGTTTCTTTTCCCCGCCACGCCCTGGTCCCTCAGTAATTATTAATTAGGCGAACTAACTGTATTTTTATCGTCGTTAGCTTGGAACTCGAAATAAGCCATCAATGTGAGATATTTTAAATCGAAATTCACATAAATGCATTCATTTATCTTTCAGTACGTTAATTTGTGTCACTTTAATTCCTTCGGAAGTGAAGTTTTATAGTTTTATTTACTGGCTTTTTTAAGATTTTTTATAAATTTCTAAAACTCATGATTTCACTTTATTTGTTTTAACGATAAATTCAGTAGAAAGAAAACTATCTCGAATAAAAAAATCAAAAGAGAATAGAATATAGAATATCAAAAAAAGAGAATAGAATGTTATATTGTTTTGAAGTAAACTGTCATTATTTGAAGTTTATATTTGTTTGTTTTTCAAACGTGATAATTTTGTTATATATTAATAATAGATATATTAATTTAAGCATTTCTTAATACTAATACTTAATAAAGAAATAAATAATAACACATTAAAATCTTTATAAGACAAATAAAAAACGTTTCTAAAAAACTACTGAATCTAGTTCACCTTCATGTCATCACCTTCGTGTCATTACGAAGAACAAAATATCAAAAAAATGTAAAAATAATAGATAAGCTGCGTTCTTTAAGCACGTTATTGTTAAATTACCTGGAACCCTTTGATAAACGGATTCCAAACTTTCTTTTCAAAGATTTTTCTACATTGCCTAGTTTTTATTATGTTATCTTCCACTACTTCTAAACTGATATTATTAATTGTATAACACAATAAAGTTAGATAATAAAGTAAAGTCAGATAATATATTGTAATAATGACCCACCGCAAGGATAACGATGCCGTCTGTACGTCACATCGGGACATTTGAATACAAACAGTCAAGTTTAGTTATCGAGTGAACGCGTCCGGAATCGAACCAATGACACTGTCATTGTCATTTGTCTTTCTCTGGTCGCGCGTCGAACATAACCTTTTTCATTTCTATAGAAATATTTATCTTTTTTGAAGTGACTTTTTATATTGATCTTACATTATTTTTAGAAATATGGTTTAGTTTCTCTAAAGAAGTTGTGTTTATTTGAATAAAAGTAAAGTACGTTAATACCAATCAGAATAGAAGAATCAAACCAAAATGTTGTCCGTAAGCTCAAGGGAAGAGAGACTCTTCAACTTTAAGTCTCTGAAAGAGAAATTTGAGCAAACCAGGTAATTTACCGGGACAATATTTATTATGTTATCCAATATAATCATTATCTGTTATGATATTTATACACGACAAATCCGTATTATTGTACTCGGAATCTTTTAATATTAAATAACTTATAACATAAGTATGACTTTTTGTGCTATATTTTAAAACAATGTAGGTTCCATTTACTACTTACTCAATTACGAATTAATTGATTGCTACATTGTACAATAGTTTTTTGTTCTAAAATTCTATCTAAACATTTTCAGACTAAAACCGAGTGTAAACAAACAGCCATTGATGCATAGTTGCTAATAATTCAGAACGCAATCTCAAAGGGAATGTTGCTAATAAGAGAGTTCTTTATACTCCGACGCAGCAGTAATAGGCAGGCAGATGGTTTCATGTGTGCGTTTGTTGACAGGGTGGCTGGCGGTGTGCAGAGGAGTGCCACACATGCCGACATGCCGCACCGAGGGGGCACCATTGCCGAAAGGTTAGTTATAAAATCACTACTTTTTTATTAATTACTTTAGTACCGTACAATTCCTGTTTATAGCCTTACTTGACTGCCTCGTTGGTCTAGTGGTTGTAGTAGTGCGACTGCTGATCGTGAGGTCCTGGGTTCGAATCCCGGGTCGGGCCAAAAAATATTGATTATTGAGTTTTTCCGTCGAGAAATTCTCAGTGGTTGCCCGGAGTTAGGAAGTTGGCAGTGTCTCACCCCCGTGCCTCGGAAAGCATGTAAAGCCGTTGATCCTGCGCCTGATCTCTCTCCGGTCTTGTCGGTTTACCGTCCCATCGGATTATGAGAGTGAGGAAATAGAGAGTACACCTGTACTTGAGCATACACTTGGGCACTATAATCCTGTCCTGCGCCGATGGCTAGTTTCCGTTGAGGCAGGCCGCCGTGACCAAAATTCGGTCTTGAGGACATTATTATAGCCTTGTAAAGACTTAGTTTTAGAGGTAGAGGTTAAGAAGTATTTTTTTGGTTTCGATACATAGCATTGGATCAAGGAATATTGGATAAAAGTGGATAAAATAATGTTAACAAACAGCAAAAGAAGTAATAAAATGTTATGGATAAGTATGTAGTACGCAGGAGCTTGTTTATCCTATTAAGGTAAACAATGAATTTTCAAGAAACAAAAATCGCTAGTATTATAACTTGGGGATTTTATTATTAAAATTTGTAACTAAAATGAGGATGGTTTAAAAATAAATAACGGTTATGTTATAAAATATTATGGATGTGTCGCGGTTTTAATCGCGGTAAGATCTGTAATCAATACATTATACATATTTATATCATTGATCTCAAAGTTTATATGATAAAGGTCTGTCCAGAATTTTTCATCCTGTTTTCTGTTACAAGCCAGCGCCTGACTACAATCCCACCTGAAGGTAAGCGGGTAACAAAAACCAATTCACTCTTGCTTTGAAGACATCTATATTGTAAGGAAGGAAAGACAGTTGCTATCTATCCATCCGATTTACTTACGAACTTACTGAACTTATTCCACTCCTTTGCTGTACGCATGACTAAAGATGAAGCTAACCGTTTGGTTCGAATGCGTGGTAAGTCGACAACGAAAGGGTGGAGACCGGCCGAGCGTCTGATTGTCCGATGGTGGAAGAGAGAAGGAGGAATTTGTATATACAATACCTACGCACACTCTCCGAAATGCATATTGTAGAAAACCGAAATGCTTACTACTTTGCGCCTGTGTTAGGGACTAGTGAGATTTGTATTAACCAAATACGGCTCACCAATTTTTATCTGATGTTACTATCATCACAATAACACGTTTACAAGGAGGCTCTAGCTCCTTTCCGGCGTAGGCATTCCAGCAGCTGTATAATATGCATTTTTCGTGCACTTTCTAAACTGTTGGGGCATAACGTAAATAGAAACGTTCTTCTATTATAGGAACCAGGTTATCCGTTACTGGACAGCACTGTTTCTCATGGTATCGAGAGTTTGTCGAAATTTTACGTCGCGTAATAATCAAAATCTAGATGCGCTGTTACCTTTGAGAACTAGGATGGACTGCCCTGTAACCAGTGAAAAAGATCCGATAGTTTTTTTTTAAATGAATTAGAATTCAAATACTAGGTAGGCATTTCAAATTTATTATTTAAGTATTCGTTTAATGTGTAGTAGTGTTTACAAAAATAAAAAAATCCTTTAGTTTATTTATAAAAATAGTTTCTTTTTCTTTATTTTTTATCGAGTCTGGAATTTTGTTAAAAATTTTGATAGTCATGACAAAGGGTCCTGATGAATGTAGTTTAAGGCGAGATATGGATAGAGTCAGTTTTTCTATATGGTGTAATTGTTAAAAGTACATGAGTGAGTATTCTTGCAATAATTTGAGCGTGGTTTTCGCTAGGTTTTTGCTAGTCCTTTTTTCGTGACTTAGTAGTTTAATCATTGGGTACAATCAAGCGCAACATTTGGTCATTTTTGCATTCTGCAGCAGAAAAATATGATTTTAATTTGCTTATAAAACTAAAGTAAGCAGTTTAAAACAATGGAATGCAGTGTGGGTGCAATTGTTCCTTAAACCTTCCTATTACCTGCGACAAATCAGCCACTGCCTCGACATTGACTCCAAATTTATGACTGCTGCGGGTTTAAGCAAGCCAGTTAATTTTTTCTTTAAAGTAACGTTACTTTTGTATTAATGAGGATTTTCGTAAGGTAATATAAGTTGTTTTTGTTTATAATTGAAAATTGAGATATTAAGTTTGTTTCATATGCCAATTTGATTTTTTTTCTAACCATCATCATTATCTTTATCAACGACTTTGCCCATAGATTGCCTTAACTACAAGCAGAAATGATACCGCCAACTAAATATTAACCCTTAGCGGTTAGAGAATGCTTTGGACATTGTAAAACGTACAAGTGGCAGAGCCACGCTGCAGCTTTATTATGGTTATAACAGGAATAACGAGGAAGAGTCGCGCTCGTTTCGTATCGTGAGTGTAGAGAACCAGATATACTTTTTATTCGAAACGAAGCATTGAACCCTATGGGGTACCATAGGGTTACAACGCATCTATATTTTCATTTATGGTCGAGGATAGATGTAGATTTCTATAACTTCGATTTTTAGAATAAAAAAATGCAGTCCTGAACCGAAACCCGAACAATTTTTGTCACCGTTTTGCTGCACCTAGCCTTCCTTGAATGCCGTAGTCACGACTATAGTAAGCCCTATCATAACTGAGATACAATCGTCATTACGTGCAAATTTGTTGAATGATACAAGATATACCAGTAAAGTTTACAAAGTGTAGCCTATTAATGATAAGTATCCTTCCTTGCTAACAAACAGAAACTCACGCTAAGTAAACAAAAACCTCAATTAAATTACCTCTACTAATATCCTTTTATTTTTATTAACGGTGGGAATACTCGTATAGGACTGTAAAATGAGAGGCACTTTAATGGTTTGAAAAACAATATAGTTTCGATAATAGACAATAATTAAAAAGTATAAAAACAAAGTTTTTAGATAAAAACATACATTTTAAAAAGGTACAATAATAATGCATAATTTTACTATGTATTACGTTTTTGAGATAAAAAGATCAATACCATTTGTTATTTGAATATACACCGCGTCCCGCAAAACCCAAATACAAAAATGTCACTTTTTGTGCACATGAAGCGACAATGTTGCATTTTTATATCATATCAATTGTCTATACTTAGCCCGGTTACCCAGAGTTCACCTGCTTGAAATGACTCATTCGGAACCCGCTTTTTTTTTTTTTTGCGGATGGAAAATCATCTAATGACGCCTTTCGCTCTGGGTGGAGCGTGAGGGAGTGTCAGACTTTTACTGACTAAAAACCATCCGTGTTCCTTCAGTGCCCTTACGTTCCGGAGCCGCGGTATCTCTTTCGAACAACCCGCAGCCATTCGGAACCCGCTAGGCTCAGTGTTCGTATCTAATTAGTATTTTACTGTTCGATGTTTGACACCTGTTTCAGTGCGTTTGCAACTTTATACCTATTTTAAACACGACGTTACACAACAACGGTATTGCGATACATAACAGGAAAATGTATGGAATAATGCCGTTTTAGCCGTGTTGGTACGTAATTAGTTTTAATCTGTATTTCCTTTCGGATCTCGGAGCACGCCCGACCCGACGGCTTGAGAGTTGAGAGCAGTGATAAAATAACGCAGAAGGTCGTTGACGCTGCGCCCCGTTCGATTTTGTATCGATATTATCAAACCACACAAATCACTCAAGTGCTTCAAATGAATCATACTATCAGAAAACTATTATTTACGGATTTTATCGCGTTTAGTTACAACTTTAAATTTATTTTTATTATCCCGACGTTTCGGGCGAGGGGGACTGAGATGTTTGACGTCCCAATGTCATAGTTAGTCCGGCTTCCTTCAGTTTTTAAAAATTAATTTTTGGTCCGATTTACGCAAAAAGCTCATGAAGTCTTGCAGTGATATGCTTGAGTTTGGGTTTAATTTTGTTAATTATATGATCCCAAGCAGATGGCAGCACTCATCCATCTTCTCTATTGAAATTTGGATGTTTTTAGTTTCAATAGCCTCGCGTATCATCCTTGGTAGGAATCGGTGTTCTTTTGCGAGGATTTGTGGTTTTTATCAAATCTAACGTAATGGTGGGGACGATCTTGAACATGTTCGCAGACTGCGGACTTCCCGGAGCGTCGGTGCTTCACTACAGCTATATATGTTCCTTCACGCGGGTTTTTATAGATCTTTTTGTTTGACCTATGTAAGAGAGACCACATTCACAATCTAGCTTGAAATTGAAAATGAAATTTTGCGTAAATTTAAGAAATCATTATCACAAAACATTTTTCAGAACAGGGTTGTGTTCAAGTTAGCTTTTGCATCTATTGCTTCTTTTCACTTTTAATTTAGTAAACTCTTGAGTTATCAGTTTTTATTTCTTAAATCTAGCACTATCTACTTTCTTTTTTAATAAAAAATTGCATATTTTCGTGTTTTCCGATAATTTAGGAATTAAATTTATTTAATGATATCCGCTCACATAGTACTCGTAGGTGGCCTATATTTGAAGGTATAATATTTACATTTGCTGTTTATCGGTTACCAATTAGTAGTAATTAGAATAAATTGTGCGTTGTGTGCGCAAACGTTAAATCGATTATTGACATTACTTTAAACAAATGTGTATTTAACAATTACATAGAGCTCGTACTTAACAATCGTATAAGCTTAGATTTACAATATTTTTGTGATCTCTATAGTGTGTGTGAGCAAAATATTCTTGAGAATAATGGGAATTAGTCTTAACATTAAGACTACTTGGTAAGACTCCTGGGTATACCCCGCTAACTTTATTAGTAAACCCCAAAAAATAGCGAATTCGTTACAATGGTAAGTTTCCTGAAACAAAGTCGTACTTCAGATAAATATCATTATTATAACGCAAATACGACACATTGTATAACACTACTTATACGGATTTTATCGCGTTTAAGTTTACTTGTTTTTAATTTCCCCTTGCCTTGCTGTAAAGCTATTTAATAAATTAATATCATTATAAAATTATACTTGAGAGTTTTCTATTAGGAGTTTGTGGGATAAAATGTAATATTAGCCGTTAGCATTGTTGAGGAGTAAGCCTATATTAATGTTATTTTTTGATTACCAATAAACCATAAAAGATATAGGAAATATATGGTTTTGATATTTGTATAATTGTCCACTAATTTTTTTTTTAATAAGAAGGAGTATCTTTCACGCCGCTTTAAAAAAAAGTGATACTTTTATAAATCGGTGTGTTGATAGTAAGTCCTTTTTTTAAATTTATAAAACATTATTTACTTGAACTCTTAACAATGAAATATAAATTGAAGATAAACTTTTAGATGCAGCCGTGCATTTCTTGCGATTCTTGCGAAATCGTAAAGCGTAACTACCTACGTGGCCTGGCTTTCCGCATTTTATGAAAATCTTTACAATTTATATGTTATTATTATATTTTAAGTTATAAGTCTTCTAAATATTATTTATGTAACGTTAATTTTTAAACAAAATGAGCTTTCATTTTTCATGTTCATTCTACGTAGTAAAACATGACTTGCTCTTTGAACACATTGAAGATAAGGCCTTGAACGAGAAGCGAAGCGTTTATAAAAAAAAAAAAACTTACAAAATTAGAGGACTATTTTGGCGTGTTAATTGACTGTTACTTTCCGTGACTTTTGTAGCAATAGCTCAGGGTTTTTTGGTGCTCGCTGTAAATTTCACAATATAATGCCTGCCGGCATCAATGAAATTGTAGTTGATTGCAATTTTAGTGCTCATTTACCACGTGCTAGGCACTAAAGAAGAACGTCGTGAGGAAACCACGTCTAAGTGTTGGGAATATTTTTGTACCTTAGAGTCCGTCTGGGTAGATATCACCATCTTACCCTTTTCAGCCGCCAAACAGCAGCTCGTGCACTCCGGTTTAAAAGGTATGGAGAGCCCATAAAATTACAAGCTGTAAGGCACTCTATCTTAGTCTCCAGAGCTGACTAGACATCTGTAGCCGTTTTTATTTGAAGTTCGTTGTAGGTGTCCATGGACTGCACAGTAGCCACTAAGTTCGTTCGTCATGTCAATTTTATAAAAATATAGTCTTGGATATCATCGCAATCAATAAAGGAGTTCACTGTTGCGTTATCAGTTTTAAAGATTTGCATAGTCGCACAGCTTTTACGTGGTAGAGCTACGCTGCAGCCAAAATATCCTGCGGCAATTGTGCATCTTACTCTCTAATAAACGCTATTTTAAAGATTCTAAAACATAATTTTTAGAACCTTTAAAATAGCGTTTATTAATATTTAGAATAATAGTTAAGTAACAATTTTCGTTTCGATTATACCTAAAATAAGCAGATACTAGCAAGTGATGTCTGGTGTAAGCAATCTCGAAATGCCGAGTCAGGTTTCAAAGAGAAGTCAGACACTTCGTCCCTTTGTCGCCGCTCCTCGCCAGTCTCGGTATTTAACGCCTGGTGTATAGAAACGGTTATACCGCCGTATATCGGATGCTGTTAAGATCTTGCTGGCATCGTACAAAGTCGTCTTTTATAACACACAATTCTGTAGACATACTATATTATTACCATTTTCTTATAAAGTGGTACCGTGTAGTGGCGGCTTAAGAATACCCAGTACCCCATATCATCCCGTGGGTGTCGTCGGCAGAGGGAAACAAATCAGGAAATGGGCAGCAGCGTCTTCCTAATAACGACTAAAAATAAAAAACTGCGCTTGTCAAGCGTGGCAACTATGCCTCATAGAGGGAATCCCCTATGAGGCAATCTGTGACAGGGGATTTTTACAGGCTGTAACGGTAAAGGTATAAAGTGATATCATAAGCAATAAAAGAAACCAAAGCATTTGATTCCATATCAATAAAAATATTTATTGTCTACGTCTTTTGAGTTTCGTTATTTACTTTTTTATGTTATAGAATAAACACAGAGAAGCGTTTATACAGCTCTGAATTTACTTTTTCTTTTTGTATTTTACGGTTGTTTAGACTTTCGTTAGATTATTGCTAGGGGAACAACTTTCGCTAACAAAGGGATAGAATAATAAAGGCTCTTATACATAGAATATTTATTTTAGCACTCACATTTTTGTCACTTACTTTACTGTCATATAATTAATTATACTTAATGATTTCTTATATTTACGCGAGCACTACACATTGAAATAATACTAGTTTTTACGGATTTTATACTTACAAATTTCTTTTCCTTAGATACCGAATTCGATTTCGTTTTGGTTTTCACTAATAATAATATTTCCCGTCTTTATTTGTATCTATCATGCTTATCCTGTCATCGTTTTGTGTTTTTATATTTTTTTCTTTTACTTTATTATCTTACTTAAGTACCTCACCTACCTAATAAACGACAGTTATTGGCACAAAATTGTCTGGACGAAGTCGCTTCCAAGGCGATGAAAAAGCCTATTGAACCATCTAAATAAATTTCATTTTGTTTTCGTTTTAATGTGTATTGGTGTACAACATAAAATACTATAATACATACACAAGTACAATAAAGAACACACTAATTGATTAATAATGATTTTGTTGTTTTTATTTACAGGCTAGCGGCTCTGCAGGCAGCTGGCGCTAACGACTGGCGCGCTAGAGTCTGCCGCCTCAGCCCGGAAAGAGAGGACGCCAAAGCTATTGAACGCGTCAAGAACCGCATCAACGTTAGTACTTTGATGTTTTGTTTTTTCAAAATATTCTAATGACTTATTGTGTTGTGTCTAGATTTTTCCAATAATCGTCATCAGGATCGGCTTGTTGACGCCTTTGCTGGATGCATTGCTGTAATAGCCACGGTTTGCTCTTTTGAAATAGAGTTACCAAAATATTTTAACCATAAGTGCGTGATATAACCTGTAACAATAATTACATAGTATAGTAGAGTAAGGAGGGTACGACGTTTTGTTTGTACATAACTCAATGTACCAAAATATATTGAGCGGACAGGTCGCGCGTATTGAAACAATGTTCGCAGTTCACAGAGAAAATTATCAGACTGCGAGAACGTCATCGAAGTAGTATTCATATCAGGATTCCTGGCGTAATAAAATTATTAAAAGCAAAGATTTCAACGAGTTAAGAGAATGAACTACTATGTCTAATATTTAAGTTGGTTTTCTTAGATATTTACATAGCTAACGATATACTTTTCTCAATAGAAAAAGTACGAAACCATAAAATAGAACGGTACAGAGGTCTTATCCACGCTATGTTACATTTCTTGTAACAAAAACATGGTTACAATTACAATATTAACTACAAAGTATTAGTTTTAAAATTTCAAGAAATTTTCTGTAATCCCTTGCGGTAAACAGTGTTAAAAACTCAAGTCCTGTAGGCCGTAGCGATTTCCTGACACATCTCGTGCTTCAGTGCCGGGCTAGTCCCTGTGTTACGATCCACGTTTGTTGTCATGGGTAATTTGTGGATGCTGAATACGAACGCCATGTAGTGGCGGCATAAGTGAATCCGCTAACGTTCCGTGGCAAACGTCTTACGACAACAAAATAAAAATGGTGGTGAAGGGAAACTGAGACAGGAGTTGGGCAACAGCATCTTTCTGGTAACAACTAAATAAAACATAAAATTGGGTTTGTAAAAGAAATAAAATTAAAAAAAAAACTCGCCTTCCAAGCGTGGCGACAGTGGATGTTGATGGATTGTAATTATATGATGATGATGGTGATGATGAATATGAACACCAATACGAATTTTAGACGAGAATCAATAATCATGATTTCAATTTTATAACAAAATAGAAAATAATTTAGGTCCAAATAATTTGTATGTAGCTACTGTCTACAACGTAGGTAATGATTATCATTTACGTAGATTAACCACAACTTCACTGTAAATTTCGTAGTATCTTTACTACAGAATTAATATACTGTAAAGTTTATTTAATTATATTAACTCGTACTTTAAAAAAATCTGTTTCATTTGCATAATAGTTTTTGCACCGCATAGGTACTAGGTACTGACTCTACATGTTGTGAAGGGTGCTTTATCAAAGGAATAGTTGAGCTTCACGCTTCTTGCAAGCACGTCCATGTGCGGATAAAATTATTCAGGCAATTGTTCTGCGGTTGGCCGCAGGCCTAACTGTAATGATTTATTATGTCGCTATTGTTGATTGTTTATCACTAAGCCGGACTCTGTTTTCAATTTACACTGTGGTAGTATTTATAGTATATAATAGTTCTATACATATCTTACGTACGAGACAATGATATTGCGTCGGTACGATTCCTAAAATAGTTTACTTTGTCTACTAATAGTCGTAAACGTCCCAGTCAGATTTGTCGCTCGATATGACCATAAATAACTGTCCGAACAACGGCTGTAAGTACAAATATTGTACGTTAAGTTTACCTAATCCGACCATCTGTGTCTAGTATAAAAATAGCATGTCCTATTACAGTTCATACGTTACAGACTCATTTTTATATTAGATACCGTCACGGCTCATGAAAGTTTTATCGTAATCGGTTGAACGATATAGTAACGCATAGAACACGGGCAAACAAACAAATATTTATTTCCATATATTAGATTTCAGTGAAAAATCTTTCTCAACCGAATTCTAAAAAGGAGGAAGTACTCAATTCGACCGTATTTTTTATGTGTATTGCTAAACACAGTCTGTGGAGAAGACTGTGTTTGGCAATGGAGTTCTGATAAATTTAATAAGGATGATGATGACACAGTAATATTATGTATAAAAGTGGAAATGCGACAATTTTTTATTGTATTTTAAATATGCGACGATTGAATTATTTACTACGTTTTATACTAACGTGATACGTGTGAACTTTTCATTATATTATTTATCGTAAAAGTTTGTTTACATCCCATCTTTCACTGTCTCTTTCATAAAAGCTTCTCTCACACCGCTTATGCTAGCAGTTACCCTTATCCAATATATAATATCGGATAATCGGATGGAGTGTTAGAGATTTGTAAATCTATATATATATATATATATATATATATATATATATATATATATATATATATATATATATATATATATAGATCCGAAGACCAACAGTTTGTATTTTTGAATAAATGTTTACTTCGGATTAGGATTAGAAACTAGGATCCGTAGCATAGTAACCTAGCACTCTGACATCAAAGGTTGTCACGCTGTCTTCATGTAACAACAACATAAATTAACTGGTTAAATGTTTAACATTTAAATAAAAACTTTTGTAGAAATCTATATTGAATAAAGAATAATAAACTGCTGTACTCTACGTTAAAATTTCGCTAAATTTCATTTAATTTACTAATATGAGTACCTACGTCCAAAAACAAAACACTTTCTAGATACTATTATATATAGCATATATTTTATGTTTTTATTTGTTTATGAAAAGGCTTTATATTATAACATTTACTAAAACATTTATGTTAAAATATTACTGAGTTAAGGAACTGTAAATCTAGCTAGCGTCGAGTGTCTCAGTCTAGACGAGTGCTCTTGCTAGTGTCGACCTTGCAGCTTTTACGACGTCTAAGTGCTGACTCAATTTTTTTTACATTTGTTTATTTAAGCGACGCTTATTTTTTAGTTTAGTTATAAACACTTTAATAAATCCCACACAACAAATTAAGTATTACTTATATTTTTTATTTGATAACAACTCATTAAAATAAGCGGGATGATATGTGGTAGTGGATACCTACTCTTTAGTTGCCACTATACGGCGAAATTGAAACACGGGATGATCATTGCCATTTTTGTGGAAATTATAAAAAGAACTGCGATAGGCGATGCGCCTGCCAAGCTTGGCAAATATTACAAATACCCCCTAGGAGACAATCTGTGGAGGAGACCTTTTTACTGCAGTGGAGTTTGTTATGACGTAATAAATATGTTTTTACCGTTAGACCGTTCAGTGTTTGGACATAAATTCAACTGGACGCATATTGTTCACCTCGCCACGCTCACTCTTGTCTGTCGGTCACAGATTTCTCCCTGTTAGCATTTTCAGTTTATGATTGAAAGTCTATTTTTAGATATTTAATTAGGTTACCCAAATACCGATATGAGGCTTTCTAGGTGGTATAACTCCTTTGCGGCGTAGGAGCTTGTCTTGGTTGCCACCCTCTTACGAGTACCTATTTCTGTGGGAATGGAGAAAGGCGTTCCATCTTAGTTCTCATAGATGACACGTAGCAGTCACCACTGCTATGCGTTCTCGGTGACAAATGGTTGGTTTAAAGTTGTACCAACAGGTAGACTGTAAGTTCCTTTGTCACTTTTGTTTTATACATATAAAAGGTTTTTGGGAGGGATAAAAAAAAGGGACATTTTTTTAGAATATCGAGTAGCATTAAAACCTCTCTAAAATAACATTTAAAAATAATATTGTTTGTGTTTTATGACACATATTTGAAGTATCCCCTAGAAAAATCGATTAAATCATGAAAATTATGAGAATAATATTGTATATTATTTGCAAATACCTTTTACTGTTAAGATTATTTATTGCTACTGGGTAGTAGCAATAAATAATCTTATAACCTGTGCATACCATATTATACCGATTTTTAATTAATGATATCAAAATTAGAAACAAAATATCCTTGAACAAATGTAGCTTTGATATTCATATAAAAAATAAACATTAACAAGACTAGGATAAACAATTCTGCTCGGAGAACAGGGTCGGAGCTAAACTCATTGAAGCAAAGGATCAGTGCACCCCTTTGTTTCTGGATGAGATAATATGCCCAAGCCATATACAACTTCTGTTGTTTTTTACTAAGAAAGAAAACTAATTTTTTTTTGTACTTTCTTTTTGGTTTAGAAACTTTCGTAACTATTTACAACTTTAATACTAATGTTTACTACATTAGCAATAAAGTGATAAATTAAAATCCTAGTTAGATAAGAAATTAAATAATTTATTAATCGTACATTAAGCGTTGTGTTGATTTTTAACAAGATCGTTATATTTATTTGCAAATATAAATAAAATGTACCTACATCATGAAAAGTACTAAAATGTAAATGGTATACAAAAACATTTACGTATTTACTTAATTGGAAATAAGAAATACTGGTATTTATCCGCACACGTATTTAAATTTTTATTTTATTTACAACAAAGTAAGATCCCTTAAGGTTTATGTAAATTCTGGGAACAAGCATAAACTAATAATACTAGCAGGCTTACTCCCGAAATTGAATTCGAATTTGATGTGGTATTCGATTGAAATTGACGTTGTTACGGACCTAATTTTATAAGCCTATACTCACGAATCAATTCGAATCGTGTTAAGACCAAGCGTCAAAAGCGCCGTTCGCCAGACGCTTCTGGGTATTTTTTATGAGGAAAATTATTTATAATAAACTAAAAATTCACTTTGAGTTCAAATGAAATTCGATTGGTACAGAATTCAATTCTGTTTTACATTTTTTAAATTTATTTTAGCAACAAACATTTGGTCATTGTAGAAGCGTGCTCGTCGCGACCCCTGCCAGCCCTTTTCAGGGCTGCAATTCTACACAGCTGCGCACCCATGCAAACGAGGGTTAGGGCGTCCCCCCAAGGCGACGCACACCAGCTCGTCCCCGTTGGTGTGGAATGCAGCGCGCAAAGCGGCGATGGGGACCGCCACCCGTCACGCACAGCCCGACACGGCGGAAGGTGGA